AAGACAACAGAAGGGCAACAGTGCAGTGTCAGATACCTCGCATCACCTTTCAACATCTCGTGGAGTCACGAGGCGGCCCAACAAAGTCATCTCGTGGAGTTATCTCGTGGCCCAACGAAGTACTGATGGGGTGGTCATAATAATCTGGCCACTCAGTGTATGTGATCAGACTTTGGTAGGTGCGAGCATTGCCACTAATGCTATGTATAACTCAAGCTGCTGTTTTACAGGTTTTATGAATATGAATCTGAATTGGGGTTTTTTTGTTCATTTTTTTCTCCTCATAAAGGGTTTTGATCTCGGCCATTTGGTCTGCATTTGATCATCTATTTCTTTTTCATGGGCTTTCATGTATTGGTTGTTAATACTCTTTCATTACCTTCCCAGGCTGGTGACTAACTTTTCACTATGGTCAATGCCAAACCCTCAATGACTTCCTGATATTCCAGTTTTGATATTGCAGAGCTTAGAAACTATAATTGGCTTGATGCTATTATGCTGATAATATGAGGTAAGTACATGTTCTAAATCTATTTTCAATTCTTTAAAGCATATTTAACTTTTGCAGTCAAATTTGAGGAACCCCCCCCCCCCCCCTATTTGTTGGTCGTGTGTTCCTGTTCACACAGCATACTGAATAATACATTTTAAAAAAAGTCTTACTTTTTAGATGTTTTGTTAATCAGGCAAGATGGCTGATTCCAGGCTTTTCTTCTTTCACTGTGATCTGTCCCAACGGAAAGACTTGGGACTGAAATTTGATGATTGTGTTTAACTGATAAGCTGCATTAACATACAATAGACAAGCCACCTCAGGCCCCTCACCCCTCACAGCCTCTTCTAACATTTTCAAAGAAATAGAAGAAATTTTAACCCTTACAACCCTAACCCAAGTAAAAGCAATGTAAACTGCAAGAAGCTATTTTTTTTTTTTTTTTTAGCTTATGCTATGTGAATGGGAACATGTAACAAATATAAAATAGGTAGGGATGCACCGATACTGGTACTTCCGCTAGCATGTAGTTGGCTTCCCGGCCAATCAGGAAGCTGGGTGGCGTGTCGTGTCATTACCAGCCGCCCAGCTTCTTGATTGCCCGGGAAGCCAGCTCTTTGCTGTTTGGTCGGCTCAATGCTGATTGGCCCGGGAAGCTGGATGGTGGGTCCATTGTCCCAAAAAGAAACATCTCCTGGGTTGATGGCAAGAAAATCCTATGGAAGGGACATCTCCTGGGCTGACATCCTAAAAAAATTATATCTCCCGGGCTGAAGCTAATGGTTTGGCAAAAGTTGACTAATCTGAATTTAGAGGCGAATCTCATGGAATTGTATTGTGGACAAATCTTGTTGTTAAATTCTGGCCATTTTTAAGGTTTGAGGGCAAACTACTGTCATAAAAAGGGAATGTCACAGCATGTCATTAGAAGCTAGCGTTTTGGGATCTTGCAGGGACCCTTCATCAGAGCTACATAGTGACAATAAAACATATCAAAGAGATATTGAATTAATCTGTGAGTGTGCCGGTGACCTGTTGAGACTATTCTGAGTTTTGCACAGCGCCATCCGTGCGATCACCATGAGCACCACCACCATTGGAAGGTTGCGGACCGTAAGGAGTGCGGGTGGTTCTTGGAAACAATTGTTACATACAGCAGGAGCACTCCAATTTGATTCATTTCTGTTTAAAAAAGCTTTAGGAGCAACACTATTGCTATTATATTGGTTGGTAATAATAGGTCTGCTGTAACTGATGGAAATGTACCCGTAGTTTGCAATTCTTCGAGGGTTATTCACAAAGCTGCCGAAGGCAGCCGAGTTAATCACCCAGCCGACGTGAAGTGAGCGGAACGCTGTTCAGCTATTCACTTCTGGCTTGTACGGCTGATTTCATCGCCCCCCTTCGGCTGTCACTTCGGCTCAGTCAAGCCAAAGCATATGCCTTCGGCTCGGCTGAGCCACTCGGCCGCCTTCGGCTGCTGTACGGGTTATAGTGAATAGCCCGTACAGCAGCCCTTCGGTTCCACTGAAACGAAGGGCTCCAGTGGCCGAAGAGAGCCCAAGGATCAGCCAAAGCTATGGCTGGATCCATCGGCTCCTTCTCCTAAGAGATCTATTTATAATAAAATTGTATAGTTACTCCAGCAAACAGCGTTTTGTTCTGTGCAAATTAAGCAGCTGGTCTGAGAATTGACCAAAATTGTTCTTAGGGTATTTATCTCCAAGCATCAGCACAACATGCATATGTTCTTTAAACCGCATTAATGTACAAAAAACTCCTGCGGACTGAGAAGTAGCCAATATATAAGTAACAATCCGTAATGAAGTGATTACTGCTAACTTCAGGAGATAAAGTAACTATGTATCCATTGCATACAATGTATCTGGGAGTGACTGACTACCACAAATGTCATCAGTGTGAGAAGCTAGCCTGTATGAGTATGTATTCACATTTGATTACCCGTTCTTGTGAAAGTATAAATGAGCTGGCCAAAGATCCCAAACCCAGAAGAAGACTGGGTAAAGATGTTTTTGACCGATGAGGGAAGGTAAGTTTATATCTATTTAATTTCTAAAACAAGTTCTTTTTAAAGTCTATAAAAAAAAAATCTAAGGCTACCCTGTCCCAAAGGGTTCTCCAAAAAAGCACAATTAAAAGTGCTGGGACTTCGATTCTTATTCAAATGGTTCAAACACAAGGAAATCTTCTGACAAGCTCACTGGCTCTGGCAAAGCAGCTCTCAAACACACAGATCTTCCTCAATGAGTACCCAGAAGCAACTCAAAGTATAGACGTACAAATGGGTTTCACGGCACAACATGAAGAGTCTGAAGTGCCTTTAAAGAAGAACTCTGGGCAGAAGAAAACTTGTGGAGCTACCCCTGCACTGCAAGGTTAAGTGCTTGTTTTGGTCTAGTGTGTAAAATAGAAAAAGATATACTCATCCAAACCTTGGACACCCCTGGCTGCTAGACCAGTCCCTGCAGCCTCTCTCCTTCTCCGCTCTAGTGATGAAATGTCCCTTAGTGTCCTCACGTCGAATACACTGTATTGGACGTGATGACTCACTGGTTCTTGGACCACCAAAGTGGAGGGGGAGTGTGGCTGCAGGGAATGGTCGAGCAGCCAGGCGGGTACATGATTTGGGTTAATATCTTTTTGATTTTACACACTAGACCAAAACAATCACTTAAAAGAGAACTATGGGGTAAGGGTTTTTCCATAAACTAGTGTCCTCCCGTGACCCAAAGCTCAGTATATCGCGAGCTCACAGTATACTGAGAGCGCTGCAGCCGGGACGGATCCCAACATTACTATCGAGATCCACCCAGCTGCGTGAGTGACAGCTGGCTCTGCTTATCTAGAGGCAGAGCCAGCTGTACCCGCCCCCTCCCCCGTCCGTTCCGCCAGTCAGCGCTGGAGGATCGGAGTGGGGAGGGGGAATCCGTGCATGGAGTGGTGACTGACAGTCATGGCTCTCTTCAGGGAGATGATCAAGAAGTGAGCGAGCGACGGTATGTGTTCGCTCACTTCCCGATCTATTGAACCGATGTGTGACAGTTTCATTGTCACACGTCGGATCGAACTATGAGGCTGAGTGAATTTCACTCACCTCATAGTTCTCCTTTAACACTTGCAATGTAAGGGTTAAGTTTTTTTCTGCCTGGAGTTCTTTAATTGTTCATAATCCTTGCACATAAAAAAGAAAACTCGATTCAGGGGCTACAATCCCCCCACCCCATCAGGCCTACAGAATAGAAATGTATCACAATGAGTGATATAGCAAAAATAAAACATTATAATAATAAATAAAATCCAATCACACACACACACATAGATATAGATATTATATATATACGGTATATATATATACGGTATATATATACTGTATATATCTATATATCTATATGTATATAGATATATAGATATTTACAGTATATATTTATGGACACTAGTCTTTATTATTATTATTATTATTATCATCAATTTTTGTTTTTATTTTTGGCACCCACCTGAATGTCTGTATTATGTCACAAGGTTACATTGCTGCTGTGCCATTTCAGAGCAAACAGCGATGTCATCCTATTACAGGACTGTCAGGACCGGCTGCAGATGCTCACAGGCAGATAAAATAGTGATAAATTGTTTCACCTACAGCAGCCATCAATCTCTATAGGCAGGTGCTCCTACTGGTACTTGGATACCCTCAGGACTTAGACTATATGATGTGACTGAGTGTTGCCACAGGCCAGTCCTAGGTACCAAGCAGAGAAACGGACAGAAGATGGAAGACACAATTGGTAGAGTTTTCCAGGGACAAGCTGAGGTCAAAGGCTAGCGGCAGGCAAAGGGTAATCCGGGCACAGGCCAAGTCGGGGCTGGCAGCAGACAGCTGGCAAAGAGCCAGGAACACATTAATATCAGGGCTGGCAGCGGGCAAAGTGTAATCCAGGGGCAGGTCAAGGACAGACTGAGACAGGCCACAGGGTTGTGGTGCAAGAACTATCACAAGCAGTGACACAGGTTGATGATGCTTAAATAGGGAGCCACCAGAGACAAGACCAATCCCAGAGCCTGAGTTGATTTGTTTACATTTTCGCACGTTTTGTCAGACAAAGTTTCCCATTACAGTCTATGGGACCAAAAAGCAGTGTATTCTGCTAAAAAGTAGCTCATGTTTTTCCAGCGACAGGCGTTTTTCTTCTTGCGACAAAGTGCTCAGGTGTGAACAGGAGCCATAGAAATGAATGGAATTCCTTGTCTTGAGTGTTTTGAAACCTAGGCTTTTTGTCTCTTAAAGCTAAGCGTGACCCATAGTTTTGAGAGACAAAACGCCTGGGTGTGAATGAGGACTTCTAGTAAAAGTTTGCTTAAATCAGAACACTGACAGCCATCTGACACAACAAGTCAGTTATCAGCAGATGTAAGCATCATGCAATGACTAACAGGGAGGGGCAAGGAACAAGCACGCCTAAAGGGATGCCAGTGTTGCATGCTTTCATATAAGTCAGTGCTGGCAGGAAGGAGTGTGCAGAGCTTAGTGGTGGAGGAATCAGCAGCAGTGCTGTGAGCCCAGATATCAGCAATATCATGGCTGACCAGGACAAGAAACAAGTCAAGTATTACACTCTGGAAGAGATACAGAAAAATAATCATAGCAAGAGCACCTGGATCATCCTCCACCACAAAGTCTATGATGTCACAAAGTTCTTGGAGGAGGTGAGTGGGCCATGGGCTCTTTTGTTTATTGTACAGGGTGGAGATAGTCCACCCTGCAGATCCTGGGACAGGGTGGAGATAGGCCACCCTGCAGATCCTGGGACAGGGTGGAGATAGGCCACCCTGCAGATCCTGGGACAGGGTGGAGATAGGCCACCCTGCAGATCCTGGGACAGGGTGGAGATAGGCCACCCTGCAGATCCTGGGACAGGGT